AGCGGGTCTGCCGGGAGCTAGGCGGCGCTTTAAAAGAGAGAATTTCCTCTGTCGCCGCGACCCGCCACAACCTTAACTTTTCTCTAACGTTGGTCCGCGTAGGCTCCCGACTACCGTGTGCAGGACCGAGTCCGCCCACCCGGCGGTCCGGGGAAGGGCCTGCACGGGGAAGAGCGCACAAGGGAAAACCCTCCACGTGTGCGACGCGCCCGAGTGCTTTTCCCCGACGTTAACTGGTTTGAATCCCGCAACTGCCAGTGCGCGGTCGGCTGTTCCGTTTTGTTCTCCAAGTACTTGCCGAACGGTATGCAGTTTGTAACTAGAGTAGCTGGCTTTCTGGAGTAGGTTCCGGGTCCCTGTCAAGAGACTGCTTTTCCAGCCCGCTGTGACTGAAGAGAGGCCAGGATAAGCAGAGAGTGCGGGAGAGGCTGCGTAAAAATGCTGTTTCTAGTAGATAATACGGTAACGTTGCTCAGATCTGCTAGCTTCATCGCTGAGTCCCCGTGAGAAAAGACTGCAGAGCTCCACTCGGCGTGAGCAGGTCTATGGCTCTGAGCCAACGCCTATTGTATGTGTGCCTATATTGTGCTTGAGAATTTAAAATGTTAACAAGGCACAGTACAGGCAGAGCTGCTTCTAAAAGGCAACTGAAACAAACAAACAAAGATAGACAAAAAAAAAAAAAAACACCCAAAACTCAAAGAAAAACAAAAAAAATTAAAAAATAAAAATAAAAGGCAACTGATACTATTCCTGAGTTCCTGATTCAGGCTCCAGGCTTTGGTCATCATTTGGGGGCTCCGATGCTCAGCCAGCGGCTCCATCCTGACCCTGTCTGTCCCCATTACACTATCCAGCTATCGATTAGGTTGCAGTAGGCAGTTCTGAATCGCTGTCTAACTCTCTTACCTACCTCGCTGGCCTCCAGCAGAATTTATAAAGTGCCAACTCCAACACATTCATGAGAAAAACTGAACAAATAAGCCATAGAAGGGAACCTCCTCAACTTGCTGAAGAGCATTTCTAGGAACCCTACTGCTGGCGTTATCTTTAGTGGTGAGAATAGAAGCGTTCCTGGTTCAGTGGAGGCTATCTCCTCTCCCTATTCCTTTCAACATTGTATCGGGAGTCCTAGATAATACAATTAGAAAAAGAAAGGAAGTCACAGGTAAACAGATCAGGAAGGAAAAAGTAAAATTGACTTTATTCACAGATGACAATTGTTTATGTAGACATTCTCAGAAAAGCTGGAACTAGTAAGTGATTATAGCAAGATTATAAAGTATAAGCTTAAGAAAACAATACAAGCTTAATACACATTATCAACAATGTGCAACTGAAATTTGAAACAATACTGTGTTTACAAAAAGTAATATTTAGGTATGAATCTAAAATATGTACAGGATCTACATGTAGAAAACTGCAGAATTCTAAGGAAATGAAGATAGAAATAGGCTATTATGAGTTCATGGATTAGAAAACAATGTTTAGATATCAATTCTTTCCAACTTGATCTATAGAGTCAATGCAATCCCAATCAAATTTTAGTAAGTTATTTTATTGATAACTTGATTCTAAAGTTTATATGGGAAGAAAAAAGACCCCAAATAGCCAAAATAATACCAAAGAGAAAGTTGGGACTACTACCCAATGTCAAAGATAGAGTCATAAAGACAGCTTATATTGGCAAAAGAAAACACTCTTGGATCAATGGACCAAAGTAGAGAGCCTACATAAATATAGTCAACGATCTTTGACAAAGACAATTCAATGCAGTAAGGACAGTCTTAGAACAACCAGACATATGCAAAAAAGAAAAGAATCTAGACATAGACTTTATACTTTTCCCCAACATTAACTCTATATGAAACTTCTA